AATATAGCCAAAACAACCGCATAGCCGCTCTTTAGTGTTAGATGATTTTATCAGACGATGCCATGATTATAAATGAGAGTGACTCCTGGTTAACATGTTTTAAAAGGGGTCGTGACTCATGTTTAGTCACTATTTAGTGTGGTATTTTTTGACAATATTCACTCATCATGACAGTAAAATTGGGCATTCTAAGTCAATATTCTGCAGTATTTCCTCTCTCAATCATTATAAAATATGTTTAAAACACGGTCATACATGAAAAAAAAAATACCGTCATGTACCGTGAAACCGGTATAATTTTGAAAAATACCGTGATATAAATTGTTGGTCATACCGCCCAGCACTACTCTCTACTAGGTATACTTTACAGCATTAGTTGAGCGATTTTTTTTCCTTGAGAAAATTTGCCATGTCCTGTACCTGATATACAGTGGGTACGGAAAGTATTCAGACCCCCTTAAATTTTTCACTCTTATTTAAGGGGGTCTGAATACTTTCCGTACCCACTGTATATCCTAAATAATCAATATCGAATTGAAATCGAATCGCAAGCTTGTGAAAGATAATCGAATCGAATTGTGAAATTTGTTTCAAAACCCAACCCAATGACAACCCCTTGAAAAACACGAGCAGCAGAATGGGAAAAAAAACACAAGGCCATGAGATGCGCTTTGTAAAAGCTGAATGTATATTTCAACTCGAGCACCGTGTTTTTAGACTGCCGTATCATGCGCAAGACGCTGCAAACAACACAAGACATGAGCACAACAACTAGCATGTGTTTACACAGAAAAGCTATGGGAAAGTAGTGCAGTGGAATGGAAAAACGCATTCTGTGTGAACGGCCCATTAGGCTCTATGTTGTTTCAAAAGGAATATTTCATCCAAACTGTACTGTTTACTTTACTGATTTAAAGTGAGGAGAACACAGTGATTTTTTTCTTTATTTATTTTTGACTTAATCATTTTGCTCCATTTTTATTCTGTTGTGCCCACTGCACCTGTAATACACAAGTCGTACAAAACATCTTGCTTGAAACGTGGACGTTTGGTCCTCTTAGACAAACAAAACTTTTCTTCAAATTGTGAATGGATTATGTAGAGAAACCGAGCAATGATATATAATCAACTAACATCCTTCACATCTCCAAAAAGTCTTTAGTTTTATCATATTTATAAAAGAAAGATACAGCTTTACGATTCTCTCCGGAAAAAGCCGAGCTCCTGGAGGTGTGTCGTGGGCGGAGCTAAAGAGTGACGAGCACTTGGGCGCCGAATGCCAACAAAACAGACATTTGATGCGGTTTCACTTACTGTCTGCAGTTCTGAATCATGACCGGGATCTTTTATAGCTGGGACCGCTCCTTCTTTCAGTATCAAACGATGTGCAAAGCCAGCGCTGAACTGGGCCTTGTTTATAAAACGTTCGTCAACAAACACACTTGCGAAACTCCATTGCTGCCCCGGAAAAACAAACTGCATCCACTGTTTACATAACGCTGGGTTCTTTAGGAAGCTGAACAAAGTTATCTTTCCCTTACAACCAAAAACACACTTCTTTGGATTGGAGACATTCTTCCCGAGCGAGTCCCGTGCAGCGCTGCCGCCGGATGAATCGCGTTGATGGGCGCGATCTCGCTCTCGTTCTGGTCGATGCGTGCGCGGGCGCGCTCTTCTGGGAGAAATGCCCATATAAGGAGTTACACCCTCGTTTACGTCATTAAGAGCCACGATCGAAAAAAACTCTCCGAAACTTGTACGAACCCGGAAGTACGATTTTTGGCAAAGAAATACTTCGTCATACATCCAAATTGTTTTTTGAAACTTTGTCCATGCTTAGCATGAGAATCCAACTCTTTAACAGTGTAAACAGCTCTGAATGCATGAAACAGCATTGTACCCCCCC